CTTCAAAATGGCTAGACTTGTTTTAACAACTAACACGTCTCTTAGTCAATAGGAAACCGACTACTTTTTGAATCATTCAAATCGGTTTAACCGTGCTCTAGAAAATGTCTACGAAAAATTGTATCCGCACATGCATAAATACTACACCCATACGCACACACGCACATACAATTCAGTATTAGAGTCCGACATACCCAGACAAAAGACCCAGTATGTAATGCATAAAGGAATTTTCTTCGCTATACAAAAAAACATACATCCTTGTTTTCTCAGGTTTGCCAAAATGCTCAGAAACTCCTGAAACGTTAAAATATACAAAAAAATAAATATACAAATATTGCTCGAATGATAAATTTTCATTTTCGATTTTTTGCGATTACTATAACTTATTCTGCTGGAAGCTAAAAATCAATATCAATATTCGTGATGCGGCGTGACACAATTTCATATTAACTCGCTAATGTGATAAAATTTCATATTACTGCTCTTGCATACAATTAATATTCAACATTGTTAATTAATAATCATCTGGCAGCAGATACTCCAAATATTTAGATTGAAATTAATTGTTATTACATTGTACATAAAATTGAGACATGAAATATTAATGCGTTGCAATGTGAGTGACGGATTTAGGTATTTAACTCATCATTATAAAAGAATTAATTTCTTGAAAAATAAGTTAAACCAGGGTGTAAATGGGAATTTGAATTAAGGATTAATAGACTTAGTCGATAGAAATTGAGATTTAGCAATTCAGACAAAGTTTTCAACTTTTTACAATGTTTTTTGCACTTTTTTGTTAATTCCAGAAAAAGAGCTTGAACGATTGTCCCGCATACCTGGCATAAATAGCTTTTAAATTGTTGATATCGATTCAGCCATTTTTGAGAGAACATTAATGATGCCCTTAAACATTCAATTTATTATTTTATAGAAAAAAGCACTGTTAATATTGTAAAGCAATATTAAATACCATGCGTGTGCTTATCCTATAACACTAATACCATAAATTGTATAAATAAATAAAAAAATAAAAATTTGTTTTACGTCTCCTCAAAACTATATATATTTAATAAGCGACGAATCATAAAATATAGTTAACAAAATATTGTACAAGTTAGAGTAAATAGAATATAATTTGAAACACAAATGTATTTATCTATATATTATAATTAAACACTTGTTTCATAGCAGTTTAATTATCCTCCCATAATAAGCAAAGTTATTACGAAACATTGTAGCTGTTAAGAAGTAAATTTTCTATTTATATATACTGGTGTATGTAAGTGTAAATAAAAAACAGTCCCGCGCAATAAATAGAAATATATAATGAATTATTTACTCGATTTAAATAAGTTCATGCTCAATTCTATTACGTTTGCATATTAAATAATTATTATTAAATTATCTTTCTTAATAGTCAATTACTTGCATAAAGAAAGAAAAATTGGGGTCATAAATCATGCTCTTTATATCGAAATAATTATACTGAAACTCTCAGCAAGCTTTTCCTTTCCTTATTAAGAAGCAAAAAATGGTCATTAATATCCAACTAGCAAATATTATCAACTTTTTTCTTAAAGCTCGTTAATAACTCCATAGTGAATTTCTAGGTTCTAGTGTTAACGATCAAAAACTTCTGTAAATATGATCGCTATCGAGATATTCATAAAACGGCACTTTCCAACTTAACTTTTAGTAACGATTCACAAAACTTTTTATCGATGTTTGAAAAGTTATATTTCCGATTTAGTTAATGCCTCAATATTCTGTTTACGTAGAAAATCAGTATTGGGGGTTGCAGATGTTACGGGTTGTACTTTTCGTATATTGAAAATTGATTGAGGTATATTATAAGAATCGAATTCTAGTTTAAACGATGTATTTATTAAGCAAAATGCATAGTATGAAAATAATCATTATAATTATCAGCAGTTATGTAGGCAAAAAAATGCAAAAATGACGACGGAAAAATGTAGTTTCATTTATATTAAAATTTATTAATTAATGTTTATATCATTCCTCATAATAAATATTAATATATGACACTAAAACAATAATAAATCGAAAAATATCCATGATTAAGTGTTGGTATACGCTTTTGTAGACCGCAAAATATTCAGAGGCATTCGGATTATTTCCGTTTGGGATGGCAGAGCATCAAACCCTTCTTCATATATTCGCATCAGGGTAGTAAAACTACAATATTTGACCAGTTAAGTGTGATTGACAAACCCTACGGGAAGTTAAAAAAAAACCAAATATATTCTGAAACGTCAAGTTTTTGAAAATATTTTGAGGTTATGACTGTACAAAAAAGTGGTTGCAAGTGGCATATCACCTTAAAGCAAGTAGCATGAACTACCAGAAATGTGGAAATAATATATATCATCAATAAGAAGTGAGATTTTGTATTGAAATATCATTTTCTACTGCTTATTTTGAACTGCTTCTCATCAAGAACTACTTTTACTTCCTTACTCTTTCATGCACAATATTTCAATGAATTTAATCCAATTTTAGTTTATAACATGTGAAATATGTGCTATGCTAACAAAAAAGTAAAATGCAGAAATAACATTTTTCAATTTTGTAAAATAAATCCATGTTTTTCGCCCGATATCTTTCCAGAAAAACTTACTTTATGATTGAGACGAATATATTCGTCATGAGCTCGATTCGGAGGAAACAAAATTGTGCGCATTATACGATGTGAGCGACACAGTTAACTGGTTATAGAATTAATAACATTTGTCGAATAATTTCATTAAGACTTATATAAACAATGTGGCATTGATTTTGAATAGAAGTCAAATTATTATCTGTGATAAGGCATAAGGCCCAACCCTGGTATAATAAAATTATATAAATTTAATATAATAAAATATAATAAAACCTAATCCCTTTATTGCACTATTTCGTACTAGAAAATAATCCCTAATATTATAATGCATCCTGTACATAAAATCTGATTCGACAAGAATGTAATGGGAAGTCGCTTGCAGCCAAAAATGAACCAATAAAAAATAATATAAAATTATCAAAACTTTGTACATTAGTATCAAACGAAACTTCAATTAAATAAGATCGGTGATATCTCAAACCTCATCTAGTTAAGAAATAATATCTCAAACTTCGTGTAGTTAAGAAATAATATCTCAAACTTCGTCTAAGTAACAACTCATGCACAACTGCTTGAGATGCCACATTCCAGGAGGCTCAAGCGTAAATCACCAATGGATAATATCCTGATCTAGCAAATTGTTTAATGGAACAATTTCTATATTTTTTAGAGTAATCATCAAAATATGTTAGTTAAGTTAATTTAAATTTTTTTTTTGTAGTATTATTATATTATTTTATTATTTACTATTATTACATATTACTATTATTATTAGTTACTATTCTTATGTTATTATTTTTATTTATTCTTATTTAGTTTATTCTTTTTAGTTCATATATATATAAGCAATGCAGCTCATAGAATATAAGTACTGTTCTGATTGCTGTAAAATAATAAATGAATAAAAAAAAAAAAAAAAAAAAAAAAAAAAAAAAAAAAAAAAAGAAGTAACAACTCAACAATTAAATAAGTAACAAATAAATTTATCTATCTCTAACATTGTATCATTTTATCTAAATATACACCATTTTCAACTAAACATCATCTTTTAATGATCTGATGTAGCCACTAACTAATTATATCTGGTCCTTCGGCATTATCTGCAAAAAGTGTACTATTTTAACATAGTTCGGCATCATTAGGTGGATCACGAATTCTTTATAGTCCAGTCATTTAAGCTTAAATTAGGTAAGAATCTCGGAATTTGAGATACCCAGCTGTAAGTCTGTAAATACTTGCATATTGACACCTAAACGTTGTCTCAAAACCTACATATGGTAGGGTGTACGCAACATATGTAGGTTTTGAGACAACTTTTAGGTGTCAATATACAAGTATTGATGAGGTGAATTTACTATAATGACTGGACTATTATATGAAGTATGTTTATTGGAACAAGTTTCCATATTTAATTAAGTCAGCGCACTATATAACTGTAAACCGAATTGCTTTTAAAGAGCCAAAAGTAAGGTTTCTTGTTCGATTTCTTTTAATAATAACAATTACTTGTATACATATAGAAATAACTAAAACAAAATGCGAAAGAGAAAAAGAAAAGAAAATTCAATACAAGAAAACAAACAATTTCACAAGTATTTCTGGTTTACAAAATTATTTTGTCTGTTAACTTCCTAAGGAAAGTTTTTTTTTTTATTTTTTTTTATTGGCCTCGCTTACATGGAGCATTTAGCCACCTACAACATTTATTTATTCAACATTATTTTTTTGTCTGTAAATACTTGCATATTGACACCTAAAAGTTGTCTCAAAACCTACATATGGTAGGTTGTACGCAACATATGTAAGTTTTGAGACGAAGAGGTGAATTTACTATAATGACTGGACTATTATATAATTCACGTTATAAACTATTCGGGTCAAAAAAATCTGTCCAAGCAGCGAAGTATTAATTGGAACGTCAAACGTCTAAGGGCAAACATAGGTGCCACAAGAGCTGTATCTATGATCAAATTTCATTAATATGCGTGGACTAGAAACCAGCCGATTTTATAGATCATAAAACTAAAATCGTCTAAATTTTGTCGAGTTGCTAAACTCTGGTCCATATCATGGAACGACCGAAACCGATGTAAATAATTGAAGACTTACTATTATATAATTCACGTTATAAACTATTCGGTTCATAAAAATCTGTCCAAGCAGCTAAGTATTAATTTGAACGTCTAAGGGCAAACATAGAAGCCACAAGAGCTGTATCTATGATCAAATTTCATTAGAATGCGTGGACAGGCAATTCTGCAAACAGCTATGATTTTATAGATCATAAAACTAAAATCGAAAAAATTGTCGAGTTGCTAAACTCTGGTCCATATCATGGAACGACCGAAACCGATGTAAATAATTGAAGACTTACGTGTGAGCAGTTCCGGCCTTGCCCCGTGTCCAGCGGAGTCCTTTGTTCGGTGCTGATATGATTATCGTTTTGTGCAGAATGTAGCGTCGACACAGAATTCAGTCGATCTGTACCATGCTGCGTCGCCAATTTTACGGCGTTCTGGAAAAATGCATTCAATAGATATAAGATTATATTGTTAGATTGAGTTCGAAGTGATGTAAAACATTTTTGCAGAGATAAAATTATACAGCGATAATAATGTATAATCATTGATAGAGATGGTGTCAAATAAAATTATGTTCCAAAAAATTGTTAGAATAAGTTGAAAGTGATGTAAAGTATTTTTATTCGAATGAAATTATACTGTGTTAATGTTAAATTAATCATTGACATAAATAGTTGTATATAAATAAATAAATTGTTATATTCAGTTCTGTGATTAAATATAAAGTGATATATATAAATAAATATAGTTGTATATAAATAAATAAATTGTTATATTTAGTTGTGTGATTAAGTATAAAGTGATGTGAAATATTATTATCTAAAGAAAATTATTTATACAGTGTTATTGGTAAATGTTTAATCATTGATATAGAATTATAGATAGCGAGTCAAATAAAATTATATTACATTCAATTGTTAGATTAAGTTTAACACGTTGACTGCCAATAACGATATAACTACGTAGATTGCGATATTTTCTAGGAAACCAAATACGTGTTATTTTGTAGAAATAGTGTATTAATTTATTGATTGTGGTCAAGATTTGAAGAGGTACTTTTATTATCAACCCTAGTTTCTTTGAGATAGGGGTTAATAATGTTTATGTATATAAATACCTGTGTAATAGGTATTTAATTGAATTATTTACTCGCTTTAAATGAGTTCATGCTCAATTCTATTGCGTTTGCATATTAAATAATAGTTATTAAATTATCTTTCTTGATAGTCGATTACTTGCATAAAGAAAGAAAAATTGGAGTCATAAATCATGCTCTTTATATCGAAATAATTATACAGAAACTCTCAGCAAGCTTTCCTTTCCTTATTAAGGAACAAAAATGGTCATTAATATCCAACTAGCAAATATTATCAACTGTTTCTTAAAGCTCGTTAATAACACCATAGTGTATTTCCAGGTTCTAGAGTCAAATAAAATTATATTACATTCAATTGTTAGATTAAGTTTAACATGTTGACTGCCAGTAACGATATAACTACGTACATTGCGATATTTTCTAAGAAGCCAAATACGAGTTATTTTGTAGAAATAATATATTAATTTATTGATTGTGGTCAAGATTTGAACACACCTTTAAGATCAACCCTAGTTCTGTTGGGTTAGGGGTTAATAATGTTTGTCCATATAAATACCTGTGTAATAGTGTAATAGTTTATATATATATATGATATGATATTATATATATATAAGTTTTGAGAGTCTAGCAATATGAATGGAAGAAAGAGCTTGTGGTTCCAAGATCCAAAAGTTCCAAAATCGCAAGAAAATATTCTAAATTGTTTTTATTCATTTCTTAATGATGATGGGATAATTCTTACTTACAGTCCATAGATAATCTATAAATAATACACAGTCCATAAATAATCTAAATAACAAAGTGATCTTCACTAGATTTTTTTAAAGAAATTTTGTTCTTGTGCTATGCACTAGAAATAGAGTTTTTATTGATATAAATAATCTAATCTTAGATAGATTAGATTCGAATTATTATTTTTAATTTTGTGTAATTATATTTAAGTTTTGTGAAATATTATTATAAGTAAATGTTTAATATTTGATATAAAGAGAGTATAAATTGAAACAGTTTTAGAACAGAGAAGTTCATCGTCTAAGAGGATGTAAAAGTTAGGTGGAAAATGTTCATACACATTTTATACAAATAATTGAGCCAAAAATTCATAAAAAAAATCACTCAATGAGTCCAAAATCGGAACTTATGGTATACTATTCAACCAAATTTTTACTGTTATATTGACATCGCTTACTTAGAGCTTTTAACAAGAGCTTTTTTCACTTTTTTTAGTCTGCATCCTATTATTAATTAAGTTAATAGGAATACGTGAGATAAGTTAGTACATTACTATTATAATATTTCATTTTTTTTAATATTTTTTATGAATTTATTTTTATTCAGATTGGGGTTCAGATATTATAGAGAGGAAGAATTCAAATACGAGATATTGTTTCGATCTTTTTGGCTGTACATTCTATCAATTTTACATATTTTTATTATTTAAATTTTTACTCCATATTACGAATTCACTTCTATTCAATATAATCATTCAATTTTCATTATTACAATTCAGTTATAATATTTTTTTTGTACAGTGCTCGAAAAAACCATAAGTATCTTTGGCATGCTACTGCAGCCACCGCAAGTTTTAATAAATAGAGTTAAAATTAAAAAAAATATTTATATCAAAAAAATTGTAGCAAATATTATGGAATATAAAATTATTAGTTCAATCAAATTACATTAATACAAGACAATACTTACTGTAATTTTGATTATCAATAAAAATTATGTGCTACATTCAAGAAACTTTAAAATCATTTGAACGAGGTACAGCTCTATCTATTTTAACAAACAATCTATATTGTAGAAAATTAATTAAATGATTATTATGACAAAATATAACAGAATTACTATTAGACTATTACGTACATCAAACAACAACTAACTACTAAATAATTTACCATTAACTTTAATTAGTATTAAATTAATTAATGTGCCTCGTTAAACAAAGCGTATATACCTACTATCAGCATTTTCGAACCAATAAATCCCGTATAATTATTTGTCAATAGATGAAATCACGATTCAAAAGATTAAAAGATTAAAATTCATTATACGTGAATAACGCATGTCATGTTCAATAATATAACCCACAGTTGTCATTGAATCTATTTTATGAAAACACAAAGCTTCATGAGCCAAACATCAAAAAAGCACAAATACCGACAGAATCATTCGTTTTACGTAATTTATAATAGTAATTGAATGCCTAATACAATTAAAACAAGGAATGTAATAATTGATTTAATTACCAGTAGGGGAGACTGGGTACGGTGGTGCTAGGTTATGGTAGTGATAGCTAAACTACACTTATTATAATATAGGGTCCAAAGGAGAAAGATGGAATACGTATGTTTGTTCGAACAAGTTTCCATTATTGAAATGAATCAATAGCCTACATTAACATGATCTGCAGACCCAACTGATTTTAAAGAGCCAAAAGTAAGTTCTCTTGTTCGATTTCTTTTAATAATAACTATTTCTTGTTTGTCATTTTGCTGTAAGTTAAACATTTGTAGTTAATTATAAGCAATTAGTTTTATTTTATATTACATTATATAATGGGACATGTATTTCTTGTCCTTTTTGGGAGAAATTTAAACAGATAAATAAAAATATAACTTAATTGTAAGTCAAAATACGAAATAAAACTTCAATACAAGAAAACAAAAGAATGCACTATTCGTTTACAAAATTTTGGTTTTTAAAGCTATTGTTTTTTAACTTCCCCTTAAACTATTGTAATCACCTAAAAATCAAAATTGGATATTTTTGAATATCTTCACGTTTTGAAGGTTTTTGAACATTTTAGTATACCTTAGAGAAAAAAATTTATGTGTGTATGTGTGTGTATGTTTTGTGTGTCCGCAATTTTTGTCCACGTTTTCGAACCGATTTGAATTGTTCAAAAAACATTCGATTCCTAATGATAGGGAGATGTGCTAATTAGTTTTAGGCAAAGGCACGTCCAGCCATTTCGGAGATACGGAGCTAAATGTGCAAAATTGGCAGTTTTTGAAAGAAATAAGCATGCGATTTGAATGACAAAAAAAATTCTGTTTGTGTTGACGAAATAATTTCTTTTGGTTTTTTTTTTCTAAATTTAAATTTTTTAATCCATTTTTTTTATTTTTTGTATATCGAAAATTATTCGGAAGTAAATTCTAATTCTAGCTAAAGTTCTAAAGCTCACCTATATACTTCAAATAATTTTAATTTTGCTATTTTATTTATATATTTCTTCAAGGTATTAGACAATGTCCTTCATTTTAAATCCGATTGATTAAGTTTTCTTTATTTACGTTTTTGTAAACATATATAAACGTTCTCATCCAATTCATAATCTCTCATATATTTTCTATAAAATAAGAATAATGAAAACTACCGTATTCATAATAATCTATTTGAAAACATTTAATATTCCTTGAATATTCCAGGGAAGTTCCAGCAATTTGCCTTCCCTCACAACCGTGTCTCGAATGTGGACGGTTGAAACACTCGCCCTTTTCTTGTATGATTTGATTTTATGACTGATCTATCGTATTTAAGGATAAAATAAATCACTATTTCCACGTAGGCAAATGTTCAAATTACTATTAAATTTACTTTTCTAAGCTAAGTGGTAAATTAAAAAAATCATTGCTGTCAAAAAAGTGGCACAACCGTACCCAGTCTCCCCTAAGTAATGATTAACCAGCACTATAAAATGACAGCTTTAGAAATTTTATTCATCGATAATCAATTGCCGTTATGTATTCGATATGCTTAGTATAATAATAATAGCCATATGTTATGAAAACATAATAGAGCCGCGTATAAATATTTATTATACAGTAACGTAATAAATCAAGAGTCGTAAATACATTGAAATAGTACGATTGATTTTTGACGATGTGTAGTGGTTTTCGCAAATTTATGACCGGGAATAAAATCTCGCACATTTACTAACAATATCGGCACGGTGTATTATATACATAATTGTTTGTATAAACGAGAAACGCGATCCGTGGCGCACAATCGCTAAACACACAGTAAATTGTAAAGCAGTCCGCGACAGAAAGGGTTTAAATGAAAATTTATGATGCAAACAATAATACTATTTTGCTGTATAAGGAACACGCTATCAAACTAGCTTCATTATAACAAAGAATGAATTTACGAGCTATGTATTGGGCAATTAAACTTCTATCAGTAGCTATTATCTAATGCAAACCTAACAACTACAGCAAGAATTCTCAATCTGTAATGTTATACAATAACTTTTGTTTTTAACCACTTAACGGTCGGGTTTTTTTTCGTGAAAAGTGATCTGAAAGAGCAGGTTTTTTTTATTGCGGA